AAAAGTTCTTAAATTGATAAAAATCCTTCATATTAAAAACTGCAATATGAGGTCACATGTTTTATTCTTGTGAGAAGATGCCCTTTAGAAAAACGATTCCGATCATACGCAGCCAATAGTAACATTTAAACTGAAGCGTATGGAGACGAGGGGCAGAGCGAGGACGCCGCAGCTCATTTGCTTCTCTCTGTCCTGTCCTCTCTCTGTCCTATCTTCCCCCCAACCAAACAAGTCTTTAGCATACAGTCTGCATTTATTGTGTTACTGTGTTTCTATACATTTTTTAAAATGGAAATTTAGCCACAGGAGCCAAATTGTCACCGCATCCGATCTCTGTGAAAAACATGGACAGTTTTATTTATAATTTACTTTCAGCTGTATTCATTGGTAGTGACTGACATATCAAAACATGTCAATGATATCAAAATGCATTATACAGTATTTACAGAAAAAGGGAAATTAAAGAGAAAGGGAGAGAGGTTTTGAGGAGGTGAGGGATGGGAGGAAAGAGGAAAAGAAGGCAGGTGTGTGTCACTAAATTGATGGAACACTGGAGAGAGTTCCCGGGCCACCGACAGCCAAAAACCTGGAGACATCCCTGTTGAACTCTGGGTTCAACCTGTTCACGTAGATATCAGAAAATTGATAAGTACACCCCCATCACCCATAGAGGCTACACTGGTTGTTTAGTTATTGTTGGTTTGAACACAATGTGTGCTCCTTGAAACATTGAGTTTATCAGGCCAAGAGTACAAAACATACAGAAAGAAACAAATTAAATAGTGAAACATGTAACTAGGCTTCTCTTTGTGTGCAGATTTTATGGGCTTTAAGTTTTTTCAATCCAAAAATATAGGAATAAATCCACCACAACAGTATCTGATTATTGAGGCAGCATGACCTGTTAACCCCCATAGGTACGTCATTCTGCTCCCATCAGCAGCACTACTACAGCCGTCCAATCCTCTGCATCCATTATCCCACACGTAAGGGACTAGCTGAGGGAACAGGTCGATGGGAGCTCCGAGGAGACTCTTATTTCGCCTGGATTCAGAAAGTGGATCATAAGTGATCTGCAAGTTCAACCCAGACTCAAAGCATGAAAGCCTCATGATTGTGTTCCCCACAGTTCAAAAAAATAAAATAAAACTGAGGAGAGACCAGAATGAGTCCTGGGAGGAAAACAGTGCCACTCGAGTCCACATTAAATGGGTGAAATCAAATGACATGACGAAGGGGGAAGAAACCACATTTCAGGATTCACAGACAACTTGTAAATAACAAATAATAAAACAACCACAATACAAGCTATTGTTGTATTTACAGACGAGACAAAATCCATAGAGGAGACGAGAGGATCCACAAAATGCTGGCACCTGTCCCAAGCCACTATGAACCAGAAAACGGAAATTTGTTGTGACTGTGTGGAGTGTTTTAGCTGGGATACTAAAACTACTGAATTATAATCAATCATTCCAATCTCTCTTGGTTTGATAGTTTATGGAAAATGGTGCTACAAATATCTGGAAGGCAAAGACACGAGCTACAAGTCCGGAAGGAACTTTAAAGGACAGGTACGTCCAATGAGACGGTGACAAAAAAACAAAAACAAACAACAAATAACCTAAAATCATGTAAACAGAAAATCATTGTGCATTTTTTCGAGTGTGTGCTTTTTCTGTCATTGTTGATGCTGCTGCTGAGATAAAATGTGCCCTTTACAGGAAATCATAACTACATTAGTAGAATAATAATCAATTATGAAAATTATAACAATAATATTATCATCATCAACATCAACAACAAAATACAAACATTTAATGAAAACCATTCTTGCCCCAAAATAACATCATCAGTTCATCTTTTTTTTTTCTTTTTTATATATCATTCCTGCCACAGGAGTTTTTGCATGAGGGTTCACGCCCCCGCTCTGTCAGTCAACTACTGCATGCCCTCAGAAGTGATGATCAGCATGATTTAATGAAGTGGTGGTAGATGCAATGGGGGCATCTTGATTGGGCTGACATGACACCCATAGGGGCAGGCTTCGGATTTGGGAGAGACAGGCTTGGAGCAGGTTGAGCTATCACTGTCCGAGGGCCCCTCGTTGGGGCCCGGCAGCCGAGGAGAAGCGGAGAGGAGACCCTTCATGTTGCTTGGAGGCCGTTTTCATGTTCTCACACCCATTTTGCAGGCGTTGGGATGGGGGGCCTTGAGGGGAGTCCTGCCTTCCAGGGGTATCCTCAGGTGCTGTGTGGCGCAGCACACCATCCACAAGGAGGAGGAGGAAGAAGAGGAGGAGGTGGGGTGGAGGGAGGAAGGTAATGCAAGATGCACCGGGGCAGATGGGAGAGGGAGATTGGGATAAGGGGGAGATGAAAAAGAAATAAAATAAAATAAAATAAAAAATAAAAATCACACACTCATCGTCATGTTGGGTGAATACTGTAAAAAGAGAGAAAAAACAGAGGGAGGGGAGAAAAGATAAGCCAAAACTATATTAAACCTCATTCACTACCCAGTTACAGATGAAAGCATGAACCACTAACTAAACTAAGTGCCATGTGCAGTATGACCAGCCATTACACTGAACAACCCTTTCTAATGTACCGTCTATGTCAGTAAACCAGCAGCAAGCAGAGCAGAGTCCAGCCCAAGGAGAAAATGTTAAGGGGGTTTCAGATCACAGTGAAGATACTGTGGCAAAATGTCAGTCTCACATTAATCACTATATGACAATCTCTCCATGCATCAGAGAAAGCATATGACGTGGTTCTCTTCCATGCTCGTGTGCATGCGTGTTGTTGAACTGGAGTTAGGTGAAGCTGGGAACACGATACTACAGGACTGACCATGATACCCAATTTAGCCACAGAGGAGGATTTTAAAATCATAGGGATTTTGTGATATGGTAAATAAAATAGAACAGAAGCTGGTTTCAGATACACATTTTATACTTCAATATAAGATCTTTTTTTTTAATCATTTTGTCTCTAGATGATTTTATTACTAAGATT